TTTTGGAAATTTTGCCTGTAGGTGAAGCGCTGGAACAGCTTCAGCTGTTCTGTAGGGAAGACTCTGGTCAGACCTCCACCAGAAGACTGATAGAAAACCTGCCTGTAAGGACCAGGGTGGGGAGGCTTCTGCTGGGAAGAGCAACTGCATTGGTTGTTGGACTCCAGATCATTTGTGTTTTGCCTTGGCAGAAAGTTTGTCTGAATTTTGTCCATGTCCAGAGACTTTGCCTGAGAATGAGATTAAACATGGAAGACTGAATAATTTTTCAAAGGAAATCTCAAAAGCAGTCAAATATTGGGGCAGTAGCATGGTTATTGTTGGGGGCCCTTAGTCAGATTTATGTTGAGAATGAAGAGCAAAGAGCCCAGCAGGATAATACAAAATGTTGTGAGTTTGGTCAGAGAGGAAGCTACAATAAAACTGTAGAATGCAAAGATAGAGCTGAGAGGATCTCCATTGCCAAGAAGGAACAAGAGAATGGAAAGGATGGCCTGAGAGCATCAGAGGAGGTGGCAGGTATTTGCCCTTTGTAGCCTCAGAATTGTAAGGGTGAGGGACTTTGCTTTGAGGAGAAATCCACAAAGCCCTTGTTATAGAATGGAGGTGGCAGCCACACCAGGTTTCAGAATGGAGGCAGTGGTCACATCCTATTCCAGAATGGTGCTGGTATAGAGAATTTATTCCATGGGATCAGGGTCAGAGTGTTCAGCAATTCAGCCACTCAGCTCCTACAGCCAAGAGAGAAGAAAGCATGGCTACTGCTCCAGCTGGCAGCAGACCTTCACATCATCAATGTGGCATTAGTTTTAGGCACATGCAGAATGCACGAGTTCTGAGGTTAAGAAGGCTTCCACCCAGATTTCAGAAGAAGGCCTGGGAGGCCAGGCAGTGTCCCTGAGAGGGCAATGTGTGAAGCTGTGAGTGAGAAGCCTATTCAGTGGAAACACCAGAACTTTGGAAAAGCCAGGAACACAGATCATCTAAGGAAAAGTGCAGTGGGAGAGCTTCTGGCTCTCTTGCACCCGTGGGACATCTCCAGACCAAACCCAGGAATGCTGAATGAGGGAGACC